CTAGAATATTTTACTAGAAAAGCCAAATGAACCTTGAGAAAGGAGAACAAAGCTGGAGGCATCACACTTCCTGATTTCAAGCTGTATTACAAAACTATAGAATCAAAACAGTATGGTATTGGCATAAAAACAGACACAGAAATCAATGGAACAGAATAAAGAGCTCATAAGTAAACCCTCATATATATGATCAATTAATTTATGACAAAGGAACCAAGAATATACAATGGGGAAAAAGTAGTATCTTCAATAAATTGTGTTGGGAAAACTGGACCACCACATGCAAAAGAATGAAACTGGACCACTATCTTACACCATACACAAAAGTCAACTCAAATGGATTAAACTCCCTGCCAAGGCCTCACCAAAGAAAAGCAGTTCCATCCATCACATTAGGGGTGAGTTAATTGAATGTCTGACCAAATATAGCAGGTTAATTTTTAAGTTGATAATTTTGTATGGCCCTCGACCGATGTTATAAATATCCAAATGGCTCTTGGCAGAAAAAAAGTTCCCCACCTCTGGATCATTACTTACTTTAACATAAGATCTGACACCATAAAACTCATAGAAGAAAACATAGGAAAGAAACTCCTTTACATTGGTCTTGGTGATGATTTTTTTAATGTGACACCCAAAGCATAGATAACAAAAGCAAAAATAAACAAGTGTAACTACATCAAATTAAAAAGCCTCTGCACAGTAAAGGAAACCATCATAAAAATGAAAAGGAAACCTACCAAATGGGAAAAAATATATTTGGAAATCATATATGTGGTAAAGGGTTAATAGCCAAAATATATGGAAAACTCATACAACTCAATAGCAAAAAACCCCCAAACAATCTGATTAAACAATGGGCAGAGGATCAGAATAAGTTGACACCTGAATAATGGAGGGGTGAGAAGTGCCACCATCTGCACAGAAAAAAAAACCCCCGATAAATTAAGTCAGCTCCCCACATACATGGATTCCCAACCAGGGATGGAAAAATTAGACATTTTTCCTCAGAAGACATACAAATGGCCAGCAGGTACATGAAAAGGTGATCAACATCACTGATCATCAGGAAAATGCAAATGAAAACTATGAGATATCAATTCATACTATGGCTACTATCAGAAAGACAAGAAATAAGTGTTGGTGAGGGTGTAGGGAGAAGATAACCCTTGTGTACTATTGATAAGAATATAAATTGGTGAAGCCACCATGGAAAACAACAGGGAGGTTCCTCAAAAAATTAAAAATAGAACTTTGATATGATCCAGCAATTCTACTCCTGGGTATTTATCCAAAGGAAATGATAAATGCTCACTGCAGCATTACATACAATAGCAAAGACATGGAAATAATGCAAGTGTCCATCAGCAGATGACTAAAGAAAATATAGTATATATATATGTATATATATATATACACACACACAGTTAGTCCTCATTAACATAGCTGATAAGTCCTGCAACTTTACGTGAAACAACATATAACAAAACCAATTTTACCATAGCCTAATTGATATAAATAGCAGTTAAGGTTCTGTGGTATCTCATCAACATTATAATGAAACAACATTGAACAAAACATTATTCAAGAACCTGTGTAAATAATAAATATTATTTTGCCATCACACAGAAGGAAATCTTGCCATTTGCAACAACAGGGATGGACACTGAGAACATTATCCTAAGTGAAGTGAGTCAGAGAAAGACAAATACCGTATAACTTATATGTGGAGTCTAAAAAAAATAAAATAAAATATAAAAAACCAAACTCATAGATACGGAGAATCGGCTGGTGGTTCCCAGAGGTGGGGGTGGGGGTGGGTGAAGAAGATCAAAGTGACAAACTTCCAGCTATAACACAACCGCTTGGCGGGGGCACAGTGTGCGGCATGCTGAGCAGTTAGCAGCACTGCAGCGTGTATCTGAGAGTTGCTAAGAGAGTACCTATTAAAAGTCCTCATCACGAGAATAAAATTTATAGCTGTGTGTGGCGACAACGTTCCCTAGGGGATCATTCTGCAACATACTCCAGTGCCCATGGCTCCCTTCAGGCGCCTGGCCTCCGGAGAGCCCCGGAGGCTCTTCCCTCAGTCCCACCTCCCTTTTGGGAGCCTCCTCACGGGGAGGAGCCCAGGCACCTCTAGGTCCTGGCGTCCCCCACTTTACTTCTCTGCTTGGTCAGGCCTCACCTTCTAACCCCACACTTGACAAGTCTCCCACATGTTCATTAAAATGGATTATGCCCTGAAGTCCTTCATATCCTTTAGATATTCTGTCCCTCCTTTTAAAATCCTCATCGACATCAAAGGCCACGCTTTATGCTTTCAAAAACAGATAATAAGTGGTTGTTTGTTGAGTACTTCTCAATCAACAAACTTTAATGCATGAAGTGAAAATACACATAATCCAGCATTAAAAGTATAAATCAAAAAGAAAAAAATACCAATAGCAATGTTGTTCTCTGATAAAACCCTCTACAGAGGAAGAGTCTTAAAAAAGCAACTGATTAAAATTCTTTTACTGCAGAAGAACACTGGAATGTATTGTTCTGCGTGACGTGATGGTGAAAAAACCCCCAGTACTAGCTTGGAGTGACTCTTGTTTTGGATATAAATTTGTAGGGGTGAAATGTTCAAAGGCATCGATACTTTTTATTTGCTTAAGACATTAAGATGGAAAAACAGAACAGTTTTGATTTGGAGGAAGAATTTTATGCTCAAAAAACATTAGTCTCAAGTTGCACAGCCACAAGCTAAACCGTAAGTGATGTGCGTCACCAAGACAGTGGCACAGGCTTGCAGGGGAATTTTTTTTACTATCTGCCAAGGGAGCCTCATTTTGCCATAAACCTTCTTAACGGGCAACGACAGTAAGATACGGAGACAGACAAGCAGAGAGCATTGGTGGGAATGAACGCGCGGTCAAGCCGACAAAGCAAACGAAGCGAGCGGATACCGTACCTGCTTATTATTGTCAGTGGTACAACACAGTTTCTTGAGGGAGACAAAATGCCTAATTTTCCTAATAACATAAATAATTAGTTATTAGTGAGTCAGATATAAGATGATTCAATACATCAGCAAATGAAAACATCAACAGAAACTTTTTAAAGCAAAGCTCCAGGGTCTATTCTAGGGCAGATTTACAATGCAAACAAAACCCAATCTATAGAAAATGCGTTTTCACACACGGCCCACACATGCCTCCGAAACCCGGCTTCCCCTTGATCACTGCTGGCTCAGAGGCGCTTTCCTAATGGGTCTTTCATTTTGTAACTGACTCCTGAAGCTTGGCTCCTCAACATCTTCCATGAGAGGATGAAATGCCACTCCAGAAAAATTGGCCTCTGTTCTGCTGACGCTAATACTTTCATGGCTTATATAGAAAGCAAAAGACTCATTTGGACAGTGACCAAGTTTCAGGGCTGCTATTTTTATATTTAATATTCTATATTACTTCATAGCATGGTCATCGTAACGATGGTATTTTTCAGGCAGAGAAAAATCTCCTTATTTCAAGGGCATGGCCAGAATCCCAAAACAGCCTGCGGTCCTGCTCATTACCACAAAGCAGACCAGGGGTGGGTGACAGGTGCCTCAGCCCCGTGCAAAATTCAGCTCAGGGAAGAGTTTCTACTGAGAGGGAGGCCAGGAATTCCAGNCATCACACAGAAGGAAATCTTGCCATTTGCAACAACAGGGATGGACACTGAGAACATTATCCTAAGTGAAGTGAGTCAGAGAAAGACAAATACCGTATAACTTATATGTGGAGTCTAAAAAAAATAAAATAAAATATAAAAAACCAAACTCATAGATACGGAGAATCGGCTGGTGGTTCCCAGAGGTGGGGGTGGGGGTGGGTGAAGAAGATCAAAGTGACAAACTTCCAGCTATAACACAACCGCTTGGCGGGGGCACAGTGTGCGGCATGCTGAGCAGTTAGCAGCACTGCAGCGTGTATCTGAGAGTTGCTAAGAGAGTACCTATTAAAAGTCCTCATCACGAGAATAAAATTTATAGCTGTGTGTGGCGACAACGTTCCCTAGGGGATCATTCTGCAACATACTCCAGTGCCCATGGCTCCCTTCAGGCGCCTGGCCTCCGGAGAGCCCCGGAGGCTCTTCCCTCAGTCCCACCTCCCTTTTGGGAGCCTCCTCACGGGGAGGAGCCCAGGCACCTCTGGGTCCTGGCGTCCCCCACTTTACTTCTCTGCTTGGTCAGGCCTCACCTTCTAACCCCACACTTGACAAGTCTCCCACATGTTCATTAAAATGGATTATGCCCTGAAGTCCTTCATATCCTTTAGATATTCTGTCCCTCCTTTTAAAATCCTCATCGACATCAAAGGCCACGCTTTATGCTTTCAAAAATAGATAATAAGTGGTTGTTTGTTGAGTACTTCTCAATCAACAAACTTTAATGCATGAAGTGAAAATACACATAATCCAGCATTAAAAGTATAAATCAAAAAGAAAAAAATACCAATAGCAATGTTGTTCTCTGATAAAACCCTCTACAGAGGAAGAGTCTTAAAAAAGCAACTGATTAAAATTCTTTTACTGCAGAAGAACACTGGAATGTATTGTTCTGCGTGACGTGATGGTGAAAAAACCCCCAGTACTAGCTTGGAGTGACTCTTGTTTTGGATATAAATTTGTAGGGGTGAAATGTTCAAAGGCATCGATACTTTTTATTTGCTTAAGACATTAAGATGGAAAAACAGAACAGTTTTGATTTGGAGGAAGAATTTTATGCTCAAAAAACATTAGTCTCAAGTTGCACAGCCACAAGCTAAACCGTAAGTGATGTGCGTCACCAAGACAGTGGCACAGGCTTACAGGGGAATTTTTTTTACTATCTGCCAAGGGAGCCTCATTTTGCCATAAACCTTCTTAACGGGCAACGACAGTAAGATACGGAGACAGACAAGCAGAGAGCATTGGTGGGAATGAACGCGCGGTCAAGCCGACAAAGCAAACGAAGCGAGCGGATACCGTACCTGCTTATTATTGTCAGTGGTACAACACAGTTTCTTGAGGGAGACAAAATGCCTAATTTTCCTAATAACATAAATAATTAGTTATTAGTGAGTCAGATATAAGATGATTCAATACATCAGCAAATGAAAACATCAACAGAAACTTTTTAAAGCAAAGCTCCAGGGTCTATTCTAGGGCAGATTTACAATGCAAACAAAACCCAATCTATAGAAAATGCGTTTTCACACACGGCCCACACATGCCTCCGAAACCCGGCTTCCCCTTGATCACTGCTGGCTCAGAGGCGCTTTCCTAATGGGTCTTTCATTTTGTAACTGACTCCTGAAGCTTGGCTCCTCAACATCTTCCATGAGAGGATGAAATGCCACTCCAGAAAAATTGGCCTCTGTTCTGCTGACGCTAATACTTTCATGGCTTATATAGAAAGCAAAAGACTCATTTGGACAGTGACCAAGTTTCAGGGCTGCTATTTTTATATTTAATATTCTATATTACTTCATAGCATGGTCATCGTAACGATGGTATTTTTCAGGCAGAGAAAAATCTCCTTATTTCAAGGGCATGGCCAGAATCCCAAAACAGCCTGCGGTCCTGCTCATTACCACAAATCAGACCAGGGGTGGGTGACAGGTGCCTCAGCCCCGTGCAAAATTCAGCTCAGGGAAGAGTTTCTACTGAGAGGGAGGCCAGGAATTCCAGTGGGCTGTGTTAGATTTCCCAGTAGTGAGTCTTGTCTCCTCTCCCCTGTTCCTGTCTGTCTGTCTCTCTCTTTGGTTCCGTTTTCTCTGGAGAACTCTGAGGAGAGCATAGGAAATGCTGGTTATGCTGTAACAAACTTCACTCAGCAGGAAGAGGTAAAAATCTCCCTACTTTTAATAAGAATTCCCTCTGACAGCTCACTGTCTACAATTGGGGGGAAAATAACATTGTGTCTGGACAAAAGAAATTCTCTCTCTTATCTGTAAGATCAGAAAGATCAGAAACACACATTCGGACAGAAATTACCAAGCAGCAGCAGGTCTCCTCTGCCGTGGATACCTAATAATTCTGGTCACACACGCCCAGAGTGAGTGTTAGCTTAAATTTTCTGAGAAGATGGTATCAGGGTGGGGATGACAACAGGCCAGCCGCTGCGGTCTCAGCGCCGCTGCTGGGGGGACGGCCACACGGGGACTTCAGACTCACAACGGTCCCGGTGGCCTCTGCCTGCACTCAGGAGGGCGGTCGAGGACCGCCAGCATCCCCGCCACCCGAGCTGAAGCATGATGGCAGGAAGTGCCATGGTCTCTGCACTAACCAAAAAATAAAACTGGAGGGGACACAACCTATCCACGCTTTGCTGACTTTATGGACTGTCTTGTTTTCTAACCACGCAACAAGCTTCAAGGGGCCGGGGGAGTCCGAGAGCACAGGCAGGACTCTCTGGTTACTGGCACGATAACTGCCACCTGTTCTTCTTCCGAGGCCTTACACGACGGTGCGCCCCTTACGAACCCGCACCACGGGGCCGCTGCTGGGGCTCCTCAGCGATGTGCTGCTAGGGGATCCCGCTGGGCTCTGGAAACCTCACAAAATTAAACTGGAACAAGGCAAAGGAATCGCATACTTGCCTTATCTCTCCACAAATGCATAGGCCTCTCTGCTAATCTGAGATTAAATGGAATCAGATCACCTCAGCTTTGGATCAGACACACCTTTCTCTCTGTAGCCAAGACTGCCAGGGCTTTCTTCCGCTTCAGAGCAAGCCTCGGGCCGCCTGGAGAAAGCCAGCGCCTAGCCGGTGCCTCAGGAGAGGAGGCTGGCTCCCAGTTATTTTGTTGTTGATGTGAAGGGGGCTGGCCTAGAAACTGAGCTCCTTCAGAGGCAGTGGGCGCGATGGGACCACAGGTGACCAGGTGGAGGTGGGCTACTGGGGTGCTTCACAAAGCCCAGAAGCAGAAGACAGAGGGAGGAAGAGCCATGTCTGGGGGTGGTTGCTGGCCATGTGGAGGTGTCCTCGGTATATACTGTGTATTTGTGGGTCTAACGCCTATGCTGGCATTTCAATGTGCCCACGTGGGCCCTTCAGCTAAAAGAGTTCAAGAGTTTGCTCTCACCCGCCTTGGCCGATCACTGGGGTGATCTTCACATGCTGTTGGATGCTGTCCCCAGACTTCCGTTTGGCGTAGTAAACCCCTTGCCACTCCTACATGGACAAAGAGAGCTCTTAAAATCCTTCTGTGAAGGCCACCATCTGCTCCCACAGAGGGTCTTATCAAGCCGAGGGATAAGTTCCCACATGCTTCCATTACATTCCACAAAACCCTACTCTCACTCCCGTTGTGATCTGTCTACGTAGGGCTCATGGTCACAGCGCACGAGCACAGTGAGACCAGTGCATCCACCAGGCTGCCCCTCCTGGGTCCCAGGATGCTTGGCCGGTGGGAGGACTTCCTGCTCTCAGCCCGATGGGTGTAGTGACACCGGGTCAAGGGGTTTTTCTGAGGTCTTTCTCAAAATCTTCACAACAACCTGAGTTGGCTACTATCATCCTTAATTTACAGACGGGTCAACTGAGGCTCAGAGATCCTAACTAATGTGCCCATATTAGAAAGTGGAGGATGTACGTATGAATTTGTATCTTTTAACTCTCCCTGAAGCCTGACACCCTATGGGGCGTCCAGCCAAGACTTCTCTGGGTTAGTCTGGCACCCAGCAGTTTCCATGGAGGAGGCAAAGGTGGGGACGAAGACTCCTGCTGTCTCTGGACCTTGGGGAACTGGCTGGGATGAAGAACCTGGTGACTTCAAGGGGGGCCTGCGGCACCTCCGCAATTTCTGGGAGGGAGCGGTTAAATCAGAACCTGGGCCTTTTCTCTCGGCCTTCCCTGCCCCATCTCTCCCACAGGCGGCTAACTGGGATGCACGTGGGGCCACCAGATGTGGGGCAGTATCTGTTGGTAGTTACTTTGGAGAACTTGGCAATGTTGTTTCTTTTTCAGACTCATTGCCCCAATTTTTTAAAAATTAATTTTGGCCATCATATATAATCCAAACTTATTTTATTCTTGTACAATGGTGCCCCATTAAATGAAAACAATGCTTATCTACTTCACATCAGAGAAAGCAAGATGAAAGCAGTAACATGTGAGCAAGCACTCGGAGTGCTTAAGAGAAAACGCACAAGCAGCTCCAGCCTCGGCAGCAGTGCTCCTCTGGAGGCGAGGGCCGGAGGGAAGGTCCCGCCGCATTCACACCACTGCCTCCATCTACCGGGACGAGGGGGAGCCTCCGACAGGCGGATGCAGTGGGGAGACGTGAGCCATCCATCTCTACTGAACCGCGATGCGTACAGAGAACAGGAAAAGGAAAACCAGGCCTATGTGTGAATACTGAAATTAAATGCTTCTAGTCCCCCAGGCACGGGATGAGCTAAAAAACGCACAACAGCTCTAGGGAGGGGACTCTGCTCAGAGGTAGGAATGCTCTTCCAGCAATGGCAGGTGGGGTATGTTCATGCAAAGGATGACATTTCCTTACACAAAATCACCAGAGTCTATATCACCATGATACCAGATTTGCTTGATATCCAAAATTAACTCATTTTGTAAACATAAACACTTTTCATTTAATTATAACATTATTAAAGAAGCCAACCTTAAAGACATGACATAAAACCCAGTGCTGAGAACGCCCTGGGGAGGGGTATGCGGGTTTGCTCCGTGTGTTTCACCCACCTTGCCCTTCCTGATGCACGTGTTGATGGTGTCCAGGAGGTCTGCCCGGTTCTTATCGCTTTTGGGCAGCTCCGCAAGTTCCTTCCCCAGGAGCTCGCCCTTGTGGTAGCCCATCATCCTTTCCAAGGCTGGGTTGACATACTGTGAATGGGGAGTGGTCACAGATCAGTGTGGGGACGCTGTAACCCGGAAGACTGCTTGCTGGGACACAGAGGAAGATGCAGGAATAGCCTATCCAGGACCACCTCAAAGTCTATAGAACAGAGGTCATTTTCATTTCCCCTTGCATACAACATCCTCCAGGCAACTTCCTCCTCCTTGCTCTGGTTTTAAGTTTGCCCTCAGAGGGCTGGTAGGGGCCTGAAAGGGTCCCCAAGAAAAACCTGCAGTCAGTATAGTCTCTCCCACTCAGGGGCCCACTGTCCTCAGCCCGTTTGTTGCTGCTCCCAGTAAAGGCTGGGCGGTGATTAATATCATGTTACAGCATCACCGTGTCCCCTCTCCCGGAGGCACAGGACTTCTAACCACCAGTTGCTCACCGTGGAATGAAGAACTCGGGCTCTTGCGAAAGTTGTCACTGTTAGGTTACAAGTGGGGAGACCCTTCTCCTTCTTACTGAGGACACCCCCGGCTACCCACTGCAGAGAGGGAGGTGCACAGCAAACGTGTTTTATGAAGAGAACTGATTGCTCAACTCTGGACACAGGTGGGGGAGATGGGGGGTGTGTGCTTGGTCTGGTCTCTCTGAGGTCTGGGACCCTGACCTGGGCCAGCAACAGGCAGCAATGCGAGGATGCTTTCAGATCCATTTCAAGGAACAGCCAGAAAAACAGTTCCGTAAGTACAGCCACACAGGGTACCAGGTGGAGAGGCTTCAGAGTCAGAAAGATACGGCGACGTGTTTCGGTTCCGATACTTATTACCAGGGTTTTCCTTGGATACGTTCCTTGACCTCAGTTTCCCCATCTGTATTACGGGCACTTATGTCTCATTCAGAGGGTCAATGAATGGAAATGAGATAACCTCATGAACATGACGATGACCGGGCCTAGGCACGGTGGGTGCTGATGTTATGGGTCTGGTATGAGAGCAAGTGTGCGCAGGTGTGAGCAGGTGTCTGTGTGCGCAGCGGAGGGGTTTTGCAGGAGAGCAAATGTGGGGCTCTGCCTGCCGTGGGCCCACTGTGTTGAACACTGACTTCAGTCTCTACGGATGAGTAAGTGCTCTTCACACTCGATGCCACTATGCAAGCCAACTGCACCCATGAGAGGAAAGCCTGCATTTCTGAGTTTGTTTTAAGTATAAATGTCTTACTTTCCAATAAATATAACATGATGTAATTTCAACAAAGGCTTGTCTACTCTACACATTTCCTTAGGAAGATAACTTGAGTATATCAGGGCACTTTATTATTAGAATACCAACTACAGGCAAATAAATGAACACCTTTGAAAATATTTTGTTCCCAAAAGAAACAGACTCATTGATACAGAGAACAAACTGGTGGCTGCCAGAGGGGAGGGTGGTTGGGGAGCTGGGTGAAAAAGGTGAAGGAATTGAGAAGTACAGATTGGTAGTTACAGAGTAGTCACGGGGATGGGATGTAAAGTACAGCACAGGGAATACAGTCAATAATATTGTAATAACTACGTACAGTGCCAGGTTGGTAATACACTTATGGGGGATCACTTCGTAAACAATATAAATGTCTAACCACTATGTTGTACACCTGACACTAATATAAAATATTCAATGTCAACTGTAATTGACAAATAAAGAAAATATTTTGTTCCCAGAGGCACTTACAAGCATTTATTCTGCAATTCTGACATACTTCTGTGTAAATGCTGTCTTCGCAGATGGTCTAAAGAATTGCCCTGTCTCTGTTAAAGAAATCTCAGGCTCTGATCCAAATACATTTTTATTCTTATTGAATATCTAATTCTTAGCTTAAGTCTATCAGTTTTCTTTAAATATTTTGGTGTTGTTTTCTCCAAAGAAATTGTGCTAAAATGTGAGAATTATGGGAAAGAGCTTGGGAAAAGGTGGCGCAAACTTAAAGGGTTCTATTTTGACACCTAAAGATAAAAAGTGTCTTCGTACCTGAATCACATGCTCATCGCTTGTTATTTCTATGGCTTCATGACAGTGGTCTAATGCCGTAAACACTGAATTACAGGCCCTGAAAGTTGCAAAACATCGATGTTAGTTCTGCTATAAAACCATTAGTGCTTCATCTGTTAACTTATCAAAGTGAACAGTTCCTCAGATTCATTAAAGCCATGTACCTTCTGATATTGCTTTGAGAAAAAACAAAAACCTAGGCTTTCAAACTAACTGAGTGAACAGTAGCACATATTTCCATGCATAAGATACAAAGAGAAGAACCGTAACCAGCAAAATCTTCATGGATCATGAAATGAACCACATATATGCTGAGTGAAACCCTACTACTGTTGCAGGAGAAGAAAGGTAAAAGGACTGTCCCCTAGGTCCCTATGCTCTACACCAACAATGTTCTCCTTGACCACGCTGTGAATGAAACAGAAGTCAAGTTCCCATCGATGAAGAAAATCCACTTAAGCCCAAACTGGAGCTGAGGTATCCTGGCCTTTTGCAACAGACACAAACACTTTATCTCCTCTCTTTTGCGATCTCAAATAAACAAGCCTTTATAGTACTTTGTTTTCAACCACACCCGCTGCCAGTTTTTTTGGTGACCTTGGTTGTATATCTGGAATATTTGAAATCATTGCAATTTCTCGATTTCTTGGAAAGAATTTTAACTATCTCCCAAATCTAGAGCAACTCCAAATACAATGTTACTTACTATTTAACAGCAAGTATGTAACTAGTTCCTAAAGTTCTGCTATTTGTCCTGGCTGTTTCAAGAATACCGGTGAAGGCTTTCTTACCCCTTACAAAAAAGATGTTGATTTGCTGGATTGATGTTTTATAAAGCACACTCTTAATATGTTATTCATTTTTTCCACTCGTAATGGCATCTAACTTTGCCATCCTGTTTTGAACTGTTTGCAAGGCCTAGGGCAGAACTGGGTGAAATCTGGTTCCATATTTTGCCAGTTAGAGGACCTTGGACAACTTTTTATCTTTGCTGGCTCTGTCTGCTCATGTATAGAATGAGAACACCACATATTTTACAGGCTGTTACAAGAATCAAAGCAGGCAGTTTATGTGAGACGTCTCTCAAAGTGCTTGAGACAATGTAATAATTCAGCACATGGCGTGTGTTGCTATTTGTAAGATCCCAGAGTAGTATTTCTTTGTTCTCTAAAGCTTTCAAAGGTTGTTGGTGAAAAGTGAATCATAATCTATCTTTTCTCATGATAATACCTGAAATATCAAGCCAAGAACTGAAATAGAATAAATAACAAGGTAATGTGTATGGGGGGGGGTGAAGGATTTTAGCCCGACGAAAGACACGTTCCTACAGTCGCAGAGACTGAGTCGCGGTGCGGGAGGGTGAGGAAGCAGTTATGATGTGGGTGAGCCCAGGAGAATGTAAGCCTAGCTCGGCGGAGACTCTCGAGGCCTGCAGTATGTTTTATTTAAATTGCTCCAGGCTCCCTAATTTGAACGGTATACTGTCCTATGAGCATCTCTGCATTTGTAAACATAATCATTTAAAATAAGAAAGACTAAAAGGGGACGACAGTATTGTTACCAGAGCCCTTACTGCGCTGTTCTCAGGAAGAAGTGAGTCCTGGAAATATTTCCCAGGCGCCGGTGCAGGACCCAACTTGGCACCGCAGGAAAGCGCCCGTCCTCCAGGAGTCAGGTGTCAAAAGCACACTCTGTGGGCTAATTCCTTAACTGTGAGGCTGCAAAATTAAGCTCTACCACATTTTATGCGATAAATTCCTCTCACACACATTAAATGATAAACTCCACTTTTGCCCAAGTATTTTTCCTTAGAGTACCTCTGCGTCTCAGCTGGGTACGCAACCAGGCACTTCAGAGAACTATTGTTTCTGTCAATTCAAGAGGCTCCTTTATACAAGATCTTAGCTCCACTCTCCAAAATTTACCTATTAAACATTCATCGTATGATTATCCACAGAGTATAAGATCTTCCCAAAGTATAAAGGCAACAGGACAAAGCAAATTCGTATCACCAGGGGAGGTAAGAGGACGCTGGTGGGACAGAAGGCTGTTTTCCCGTGACGAACACTCCTGGACGGCAATGCCTAGTCCAGGCTTTGAACCAATTTGGCTGACAGGTCTATTTAAGAACCTCCAGCAAAACGAGGTAACTGACTTGAACAGTGTTCCTCAAGTTTGGGAATTTAATTGCTTCTATTAATTATTATTAATAGAATAATTAATGCAGAAGAGGCCTGGCTTTATTTCTTTTCTCTTCTCGGTAACCTTGTAACTGTGCCTCATGTATATTTTTGTATCCTTCAGGTTAAGACTTTGGAAAACTTGGAAAAGTAGCACCAGGAAAAGTAACCTTGGTGTGGAAACCCCCGAAGTGCAGGCGATGTAACAATTTCCCCCTCACCTTCTTAAGGCGAAGGTCCAGAGGGAAAGGCAAGTATTACAGAGACCGGGCACAAAGTCTATAAAGAACACCGTGGTGTATGCCCGGGGCAGAGCGCGTCCGGCGGAGAAGCAGGACACCCGCCCACACACTGGGCAGCTGTGAGCCATCCTGTTGAGTCTCCCTGGCTCTGTGCTTTCCGCTGTCCGCTGTGGCTGAGGTGGCCGGGTTACATACCAAAGGTACTCCAGAGTCTACTCAAACAAAACACACACACACACACACACACACACACACACACACACAC